TACCAAACTCGCGACACATACACCTAAAGTGAGAATATGAAAAGTGGACAGGGACCGGGCCTACTTGGAGCGAGAGGGAAAGAAAGTGGACTTACATGGTCCATACAGAGTACCGAATCTAACGACGCACAGATACATGTTCAAGCATTATGGCCTGATATAAAATAAGAACAAGAACACAACTGTTGTCGGTTCTCTACCATATCTTCCAGCGCTTCCAAATAACCAGTTACAGAATCTTTTGGACCCTATCTTAGAGGGCGCGAGACAAGTACTCTACCGAGTCTTATTGTGCATTTATTCAGGCCTCGTTTCCCATGTCAGCTGTTGACCTCCACGTGGTTTCCACCAGCCCGGGAGGCTACAGCGAGTAAAGCGCAAAGCGGCAGAATACAGTACGGTAGGCTCAAAACGCTCCCTAGCCGGTGAAGTTTACTAATCTGAATTCGACGAGCTAGCAAGTTTGTCCCTGATAAACTCCCGAACACACGACGACTTACCTCCAGATTATTAATCCGTTCGCTCTATCTCACGTGGGCTAAACTGCGTAAACACTGATAGCCGAAAACTTCCAGTAGATGGATATCTGATACCCGCAACCGCAGAACTCACCGAGCGGTGACACAGTATACGGGACAGTTCAACTTTAGTGAAACTTCACATACTCACCACAGGTGCTTCAGTTCTGCTTATTCTGCGCCAGCCTCAGAAAAGCGAACCATTATCTCCTTCGCTACGCCACCGTCCTTAGTCAACTAACCACTTAAGAAGAAGAACCAATCCACTATAACTAATCCCTGATCGTCCAGTTTCAAAGCTGGGCTAGTCAACATCTAGTCTCGCAGCATCACTTTGCACCTTGCCGGTGCAAAGCAAATACCGAGTGCAGTAACAGAACTTATTAACCTGTCAAGTGCGCGTTATGCGACTTCTATACAGTCGAACACGCAGCTGGTTTCATCTGGGTATTGTAGATCACACAGGTTTTCTTCAGTTGCCTATTCAATGCCAACATTTTCGCGACGATCTACCAACTGAGTTTGGTGGGATCTTCTGTAATCGGTGGGTCGAAAAGTGAACTGTATCAAAATTAATGCGTGATCAGATTCAGGTAGTCCTGACCTGCAGTTTTGTGCTGAGCCACGCCAGCGGAAGCTTGCTTTTATGTGGTCGTTTTGAGTTAGCGTACCAGTTGAAGTGGAGCACCATTTTGCCGTCCGTTGAGAAGCTGATACTGGACACGAATAGATGGTGATCTGTGCAGAACTGAAGAAGTCGGTCGCCGTCTTCCGTTCGTTGACAATGCAGAGCACAACAACTGCTTAGGCAAGTTTCCAAAGCGCTTAGTTTTCAAACCTGTGCGTTAAAATCACTTGTGAACATTACTTCATCGGAGCTTCGGCAAAACGAATGAGTTCGGTGAGTTTGCCATAGAAATCGTCTTGTTGTGTCATAACTGCAGTTAGTCGATGCACAGGCTGCAATGGTGAACAAACACCTTTTGGTGTTGCGTCCCTTCCGGAGGCTGATAGACCCCCGGAGACGCATTACACATAATCGGTTGCTGACAAGGATCCAATCGAGTAGCGACGCTTCGGTTTTATTATTGAGTATAGTTCCTAATCAACGCTGGTCTACCGAACAGGCTTCGCCGTCACCTGATGTGCAGAAGAAGTACTTCGAAGAAAAATCGGGGCACTTAAGTGGCTGATAGTACTAGGATCCTGGATGCGCGTCTCCGACACGCAGCAGACATCAATTACCAAAGAGTCCATTGTACGCGCCAGACATGCATATTGACCCATCTGCATCAGAGTCCTCACGTTCAAGATCCTCGGATTGAGAGGTTGACGAGGCTTCAGAATATGCAAACTATTTAGTGGTTAACCACTTACAGCTCTATTTGGCAACGAACTACTGCGAGTGACGAACAAATCGGGGGAATGTTACTGGTCATAGGAAGGAGTATTTTGCGAGGGTTGGTTATAGGAAACAGAGACGAGATGAACGCCTTGCATACAATTGACCGGCAGAGTGGAACAATCAAAGTGGCGGTGGAGGGTATGGTTATCAGCAACCACTAACATTATGGGGTGTCTTTAATTCATTTGAAACAGATTTTGCTAGTCCCAAAAGATAGAATGAAAAATAGGCGCATGATTTAATGGCGATAAGAAAGGGCACCATAACGCTTGATGTTTGATTCTTATCGAGGACACGAATTCGAGATCGTATAAGCTACTTGAGTGCACCGTATTTGTCCTCGAAGTACATCAGGTAACTAGTAAGCCCGTGCAGTAGGTCAGCGTGGTGTAGGTAATGTACTCAGTGGTGGGTCCGAAGCCTTTCTTTGATCCCCATCAACAGTCGTTTATATAGGATGCGACACCTAGGGTCAGTCAGTATCAGGAAGAAAACCAACACCAAAAGGCGTGTGTTCATCCTTTCTACTTGTGTACCAGTCAACTGCAGTTCTGATAAGCAACTGGACGATTTCTACGACACACCGAATTTATTCGTTTCGGTCAAAGCTCCGGTATAGTTGTGCTTGCATGTGACTGTAACGCGTAGGATAGAAAACTGTCTGACGAACAGCCTCAAGAAAGAACCTGAAACCTGGTCGGTATCTATAGCCAGTGACAAGGAAGTAGCGGCTGCTTCATGGAATAGGCAAGGACTTACAATCGATGTGCAAAGCGGGATGTCGGTGAACCCCAATTGGTGAAGTTATCTGTGATAGAAGCTGGCTAGCTATTCACAAATGATAACGGTAGGCTGGCCGGTGGACGGAATATTTCAGCGAACCGTTCAGTTCGCCTGGTGCTAGCCATAGTATCTCATTTGCAACTGAAGCTAAACAGTGTTATGCGGTCCAGCGGCACAAGTTCAAACTTGCATTCAAGCTCTGAAGTGAGGAAAAGCCACAGGAATGGAGAGGTTTCCTCCTACTCTTTTCAAAATAAAGGGGGTGATAGCCGTGCTAACTTACTACACAACATATGCTCGCAAGAGCGCATTCCATCATCCTGGAGCGAATCATTGATCATTCCTATTTTCAAGGAATCTAGCAACGACTGCGCAAACCACCGTGGCATAAGCTTGATCCAAATAGTCAACAAAGTATTAGGCTCAGTCACACTTTGAGGGCGAAAAATATCGGCGATTGACAAGCAGGAACCTGACTAGGTCGCAGCTGAATCTACCAAATCTTCACCCTACCTCAAGTCCTCGAGCTATGCCACACACACCCTTGACCAACAATAGCAGTGTTACTTGACCCGAGATCATGGTCACCGATGGTTAGAGACACTGAGCGATATGGCTTGGTGTCTCAAACAGTGGCGCTCATGCATCCACTCATTATTTTTTCAACCTCAGTCTATATGAATTCTCTATCATTCGCTTAAGTTCACTCTCTACATTCCAATCTTCATTCTGCTCTTTTATCGAAACGGGCCGCTGAAAGGCGGTGATCAAACCAGGCGCAAGAAAATGCATGGTTCTTTGTTGGCAAAACTGAAGCTGAAAACTCGATATTTATGGTAGCTTGAGAATCTACGGTGAACTGAGTAAGTCGTTTGAAACAGGCAGCGGTGTTCGTCAAATGTGCGCTTTTTCGACATTCCTGTTTGATTTCAACGCAGACGAAATACTGCAGAACGCACTTTGTGGTCTCCAGAATGTTGGCACTGAATAGGCAATTGAAAAAAAAACTGACTTGCAATACGCTGCTGAAATCAGCTGCGTATTCGACAAGTTAACAAGTTTTGTTACTCCACTCGGTATGCGCTTTGCACCTTGAAAATGCAAAGCGATGCTGCAAGACTGGGTGTCGTCGATTTCCATTCTGAAACAAGATGGTCAAGAATTAACTGAATTTGACTGCTTCGCGTACTTGGGTAGCTGTGTGACCACCGGCGGTAGAGCATCAGAGGAGAAAACCGCAAGCATTTTCGAAGCTCGCGCAGCGTACGCACCTGTGGGAATGACGTGACGTTCCACTAAATTTGAAAAGTCGCGTACCATGCGCCACTGTAAAATCAGTTCTGGTTTCAAGTTGAGATCTTGAATTTGCTACTGGTAGGCATTCGTGGCCTGCAAGTTTTAGATAATCGATGTTTACGTAGTCTGACTTAGGTGGGATGGAGTGAGCCGATTAGTAACCAGGAATTAAGTTGTCAGGTATTTGGGACCGCATCGAACAAGAGCCCTCGATTGCATCGAATTCAGCTAAACAGGTTCCGTAGGTTAAGACACGTTTGTGTACGCCAAACGGTCGCCTACTGCATCGTGTCTTATTTGCAGTGATCGCTCCAGACTGGCGAAAATCACAGATAATGTGAAGATGAAGCATGAAGAAATGCACGGAGCCATTAGGTGAAGTAGGCGTTTGCCGTCTTCCAGATTGATTGACTGTATTACGCAGTACGATATGATGATGATGTCCTCTACTCCTCCTGGACATTCCCGTGTGGCGCCGGGCGCGAATAATAAAGCTAGAATATCGAGCCATGCAATCCGCAAGCTTTGTGTTCGCCATTTTTACGTGTTTTACTTACAGTACCGTAGCTGGTAGCCCTTAACTGTTCTGCCCTACTGCTATGATTGCTCTTATGTCCTATTATATTTGTATTAAGAGGTCTATTTAGAACCCGTTATAAAACAATTAAATATCATCTGACTGTTTATGTTCTTACGGTAAGCTGCTTATAGATGAAGGATTATCGCGCTCATAGATTAATCTCAGCGACATCTATCGACTGTGGATTATGCCGCACAATATATTGTACAACCACTCAAGTGGTACAAATTTTACAAAACCTAATCATTTATGGTATATGGACTTATTTTTATCAACCACAACAATACGGTAACTTACATTCGATCGAGAAAGATCTGTCACACGTGTTCGCACATCCGCATCTTGCCGATCCCAGCAATCTGATAAATAGAAAAATGGAAAGGGTAAGATAGTAGAGTTCAAGTTGAAGCATTACATTAACCAAGATTTGATAATTTTTAAGATACAGATTTCTTAGTGGTGTTCCTCATAAAAAAAGGATGAACATAAAACAAACTTCGTGATCCTATAAGAACCAATAAAAGCCCAAAGACCACAGTAGACCTTAAACCAGAAACCATAAGACCTGCAGCAGTTAATCCTTCGTTTAACCGACTTAGACATAGCTGCAGTTCGTACGAGTCCGTAAAATGTGCTTCACGCAATCGAACAATTTTTCAACATACTTGAAAATTGCGTAGCATTTCACTAAGTATACAACTTCATTTCGATAGGATTGACACGTATTTTGGAAGAATAAATTACCCAGTTGGTGCGAATTCACTGGTACTTCCTTCCATTAAAAAAACGCACTACTAAGATTAGAAATGTGCAAAATTGTCGAGAAAGGGAATACACACAAGGACCAATTTGTTGTAACAGTACTGGATTCTCAAAGTATCGTCTTCCGGTAACGTTTTCTCGTCCAGATAGTAACTCCACAGGTTGTAAAATATAATACAGCTGAAAGCGTGTGGGAATTCATTTATTATGCGAAAGTTGAGGATACTTGTGGGAGAAAGAGGAGACAATGGAATGCATATATCCATTGGTTGACTGGATTGTTGTCAACCGTCTTGGAAGGTTGGCGGTTACAATCACCCGAGTCCGCCTATTGATGTTCTGACTGGTTGTCCCAGAAAAAAAACAGTTTTTATGCTGACTCCCTGATAAAATGAAACATCCATCTAGCGGTTGAAGTAGCTTTGATTGTTCCTGTTAAAAGCAACAAAATTGTTCGTTTAGTGGTAGTTCTTGTTGCTATTTCCTCGGAGGAGAACACAACCGCGGAAGTTTCGCATTTGTGTCTAGCGTGAAGTGTCGTGTGAGGAGAAGGCAAATAACAACAAAAGACCATATTTGTATACTGAAAAACGACAGATTGTGTGAGAAAATTGTAAAACAAAAAATAACAACTCGCCTTGCACTGAACAACGTATGGGTTTACCACTATTTGGCGATTCGTTCCCATTCACATGCTGCTCCTCGAGTTGTGTAACCATATCAAGCACAGCTTCCACATGGAATTCCATACGCAGTGAAACTTCATTCGGGACTAGCATTAACGGACTTGCTGGAACATCCTCCGAGACCGGTGAGTATAAAAGGGGACATCTGTCCAAAGGACGCAGAGTCAAGCCTGTCTGTGAAGTTTGAGAAGGAACAGATGTAATTTAAACTACTTGTGAGTAGTTAAATGAGGAATTACAAAATAAAAGGAGTGACGGACGAAAACAGGATATCGTGCAGGAACTAACCTGTGACGCCAAAAAATTCAATGGATGATTCGGATGTGCATACACTCTGTCCGACCACATATGCATCGGAAATACCAACCGACTTGGAATGGCATCTGATGGACTCAACTGTGAAGCAGAGGCAGAAATTGAGATATGCGCAAGGGGAGGAACAGTGATGAACAAACAATTTAGCAACAGCGTCTACACAAAGCAAATTTCGGTTCGTTGTAAAAGAATTAGTTATTGAGCCCTAAGAAGAAACTTGAATTACCAGATCAAAACAAAATGAAGGATGAATTATTATTGCGGAAATTTCATTCAGAGATAACATGACATCGATTGATGGTGACGATCTAGTGTAACGAGTGAGAGACCGATAAAGCTTTTTGTTATACTCTTCACTGAACATACACTTTGAAAGTCATAAATAAAACTACTGAAAATATGACCTTGAAAATTTGGGGACTGAGCAGAATGCATAAAACGATATTATCTCGCAATATTGGATTCTTCAATACTTGTTCAAGCTATTCAATTTATTGTTTATCAAAATCAGAGACAACTGTATAGCGCTTACTTTACTTCCGTTAATGGTCACATGCTGCCAAGCTGTGAGCGACTGGATTGATAAGGGATCATCATGTCTACCAACCGTATCAATCTTCTCGTCAGTTTGCATAGAAGAAAGGATTGATGTGCCATTATGAGACGTATCCAAAGTTAAGTTAATCCCTAGCTGCTCTAAAGCCCTGGGAGTACTTGAGGATAAACCCGTGTGATTTGCCAGCGTGGGCTGAAACCGCACTGAAAAACCACTATTAGTGGGAAGGGCCATAGACCAATCATTCAGCTTATTATGAGCTATTAGACCGTTGATGATCTGACGCGTGGCCACCGCTCCAGTCAAACCGAGACCTCCAACGACGAGTATACGAAAGTCTTCGTCTTCTGATGATTTGTTCTTTGGAAGAAGTAATATGTTCTAAAACAGAAGAAAACATATGGAAAAGAGAGGAGTATACGGAAGTTGAGGGAGGATAAACATGTATGAGTGGGAATTATTTACAAACTAGACGGTATTAAATAGGCTCGGTGCTTATTCAGTTGATTTCACTGAAATAAAAACGTAAAAATGTACGGAGTTTTTCGAGAAAATAACTGTACTGGTTTGCAAAGTTATTCACTTGTGAGGACTTCGAAGAAACGGATAAGGAGCTATAACTGGAAACCGGTTGTGCTCTACCGGTGCATATTGTTGCAAATGGACGCTGCTCGCGGTCACTGCTTTGAGTTATTTGATAACTCGCATTCAGCTGTCGTATTTTTGTCACATTGTTCCCGTCAAACTGAGTGTTTACTGGTTGACGAAGCTTCGTCATTTCACGGCCGTGCAACCAACGCATATTTCAAATATAGTTCCGTTGTAATGTGTTTCTATTTTGGAATAAATTATCAAAATTATCCCAACTCGCAATACTATTTAGTAATCGAGGATTCGTGAAATATCTGTGCTTCTAGTGTAAGAAACCCAAGTGTTTCAATTGGCTATAGCAGCAGTCCAAAGACCTGGAGTTACTTCATCTTTTCTCTTGTGCACGAAGCATGCAAGCCTAGTTTCCTCGTCGGCCTCCAGTGACCCGATCGCGGATGCCTCCGATCAGGGTTGCTTTGGGGTAGCACTGACTTTTCGCTGGAACGTAGATGACTGCGAGGAGACCTGATAGAGACCTTTAAAATAGTCAGACATGTTTACGGTTTCTCGAGCTCAAAACACGAAGAGTCATAGCTTTAAGCTCCAACAGAACGGTTACAGGTCCGGGCAAACTTCTTCGCACATAGGGTCATACCTATGTGGAACAGGTTAACCGGGGGAGTGATCAACTGCACCAATGTGCACAACTTCAAAGAGGCACTGGATGCGTGTTGGGTGGAACTGTTCCCTGAGGTTAGGTGGTAATGTATTGTCACTAAGAGCTAGGTAACTTGCAGCTCCGAGCTATGGAATAGGGCCTTAAAATTGTAATTGAAACTGGTATGTTTCAGAAGACAAAGGTCTCTCACCGATGAGGCGAGAAGACATCTCTTCTGTTTTAACTTTTCCAACTCGACTGAGAAAGCCTGATTAAAGAAGCTCAGAAAACGCAGTGTCGGGAGCCAAGAACACCCGCCGACAACACAATAATCTGGACGCTCGATTGGCAAGGGCCATAACTGGACTGGACTGCTCGTGCAGAAATGTTGCGCGAGTTAATCTCAATCAATGATCAGTGAGTGTTTAATGGAAGCATCTCACAATGGGGTTGTAGCTTATCCGCCGAAAGACTGCAATCCCGATGCAACAAAATGCCAAGTTTATCACGAGCTCATCATCCTCCGCAATGGACGTCGGGTACCTAGTACTTTTGGGCACGGTATACTTCGCAGCAGTCCACACCGACGAAACGGTTCTTCTTTGTGAACCCTAACCGAAGCCTCCGACTCAAAAGCCCGACCCGCAAGGCAGCGGGACGTAGATCCAACGCGGGAGCGTGGACGAAGCACCTTGACGTGGTGTGATGGCTTGCGCGCCTCTATGACCCTGCCAGTTATACAGGATGGCTCCTCACAGTCGTAGATCCAACCTACCTGAAAGGTCAACGGGTTGAGGCGAGACAAAGCTCAATCTCACAAAGCCAGCTGCTTAGGCGCCTCTTGGCTTCCTCCTTCTATCCGCATCCGCCCCTGGAGAGGTCATTCCAGCAAAAAAACACGAGGGGCAGTCTACGGGTCAAAACCACCCGGTAGATGGACGTAGGGTCGGGGTACCTGGGACTTCCTCTCGACGGTGGGAGAAGTCTTCGCACTTCATTGGACAGCTACCACCCGCTTAAGGTGGGCAGCCCCCAGCCAATAAGGTGCTGTCTCGTCATCGTTCCGCTTGTCTCATTGGATGAATGCGGCTAACGGCCGAACCCGAAAAGCGGAGACCTCGGGTGAGGTCTCCAGAAGCACCCACAGGGGTGCTTCGTTCACGCTCATT